ATCAATTCTCTTATTCAAACAATTGATCTTCATACTCAAGTACTTAGTTAACTGATGTAGATTCTTGACTTTCAATTTCTCACTGAGTATACTTACTAGCCAATCAGCATTCTCAGAAGCTTCAGATATGATGTTGAGATTATCAATATAGATTGTCACATAGAGATGACATCTGAATATATAATATCAGAGTGCTGAATTATAAGTACTGACTGTAAATTCAAGATCACTTAACAGAGCTGTTAAATAATCATATCAGATCTTCATCACAGGGTTCAGACTGTATAGACTACTCTCAACTGTGCAGATAAGTGTTTTCAGTAAACCTGTCTCAAATTCAGTAGATTATCTCATATAGACCTTCTTAGTAAGACACTCATGAAGATATGTCATCACTATATTCACTTGATGAAGTATTCAACTGTGTAGTGCTGCTATTGCAAAAAGAATACAATTGACAGTATTAGTGATAACAGAAGTGTAGATCTCTTCTCTAGAATTCTTCTTAAGTCAGTTATCATAAATCACTCAACATGATTTTCTAAGAATATCATCAGAATCAGCATTCAAGTTCACAGGCCTATCTTTCTCAAGAAACACTCAACAGTCTGAAGCAATTGATTCATCTCTTGAGATATCTGATCTAGAGATCAAACTTCATGTATTGTATCTCTTCAGGTCAGTAATCTCATATTGCATAGACTTCTTTCAATAATCTTCTACCTCTTCTGACTGAGATGTGGCATTCTTGTAGAACTTCAGAAGGTTACCTGTAATAAGACTTGAAGTGTAAGTAGTCAGCAATTTCGCGGGCCACAATCATGTGAAATTCAGATCATTAATATCAGAAGCATCTTCATCATCAACCAGATGAATATCAAGTGCTGATTCGCTGGCATTATTAATGAGTGTCACAGATGTGACAGCTGATTTCAATTTCTCAGTGATCAGAAATCTTACATCACTACTGATAATAATCTTATCAGATTCAGGATGCCATAGATGATATATCAATGTGCCACTGAATTCAATAATACAATAGAAATCGGCATGTGAAGAAAGCTTATCCGCGGGCTGCTGGGATTCATGCAAGTGAACAAAAACCTCTGCACTTAATCAGTGAAAATGCCTTACATTCAGCAGGGTATTTGTAAGTGCACATTAAGAAATCTTATGTGAACTTGAAATCACAGAAGTCTCTGCAGTAGAGGGCCAAAATTTTGAGTTATAAAGAACTGTAGATGTGAGAGTATTATTGATTATTGTAATCACTATCTCTAGAACATCTGCTCAGAACTTCTTAGAGAGATTATCTTTCAAAAGAGCAGCTCTAATCTATTTCATGATAGTATGAATTTCATATTCAGAAACATCATTCTGATGTGATGAATATGATGCTGTTGATTCTTATTTGATATCATATGAATTCATAACTGTGTGCATACATGTGAATTGGAAAACATCATTAATATCAGTCTGTAGAAAAGCAGAGACTGTATATCTGAGATTACTCATGAATCTGAGCCACAACTCAAAGTATTGAACAGCCTCATTCTTGAACTTTAAAAAATATACTCAATGATAGTGAGTTATGTCACAGATGATAAGTATTCAGTATCTGATTTTCTGATGAAACTCTAAGAAGTGGTTAGAAAGGTCTTTCAATGTATATCTGCTATCTGTAAGATTGATATAGACCTTCTCAATGAGTTAAATAGATCTAGGTATTGATGTTTTCAAATAATCTCATATCATACCTGCCTTGACACATTCCTTGTAAAAGAACTTAGTCTTAGAACCTTTAATTGTGACTTCAGTATGAGAATTCTTGGCCATAGCAATTATAGCATCAGTGTGAATGTGACTGAGATTACAGTGCCAGTTCAAAAGAGTCTTTGATATTCTTGTATTCTTGAGGTCTGTATTTGAGACTGTAGAATCAATGTTATTAACAGTAGTAACAGCAGTCATCAGAAGATCAACTTTTCAATCAAAATTGTACTCGTGAAGCATCATCACAATATACTTGACTGCTCTGTTCAGATGATTGAAATCCTCATTGAACTCTCATTTATTGACCTTATATATGTTGTTCTGAGTGATTTAGACTGCATGAAAAATAACATCATTCAGAGCTCTGCAAATGAAAAATGAGAGAATAGTGAAAGACAATGTAAATCAGAATCCCTGATCTTCAAGCTTTGCAAATGAGAGCAGATTAACTGTAATATTAGAGATATAGTGAATATTCTGTAAGTTAATATTATCACTCTCAATCTTCAAGGTGGCAGTCTCAATCTTCTTGATAAACTCAGTTCTCTCAGTCATAGAATCAACAGAGATATTATCATTAAAAGATTTGATGTTTGAAAAAGAATGCAGCTCATTCATCATATTCAGACTTACACATGTGTTCAAATATCAAGATCTAGAGAATGGTTTTTCAGTGACTGTGAAAGAGAAATAGAACTCAATCTTTGTAATTGCTGCATTTACTGCTGATTGAGAACTTATCAAGTTATTCTTCTTCTCTTTCTTCTTATCATTCTTCTTGTCATTCTTCTTTTTCTTTTTATCAGAGTGTAAGATGAAACATCTGTCAATAGTATATTCATATCTTCTGCAGTGAGTGCACTTTCATACAGATGTGCTTTTATTCTCATCTTTGTTCTTATCTTTGTTCTTGTTCTTTTTCACAGTCACAGAATCAGTCTGAGACTGCTTTTTTCACTCAGTAATAATCTTCTTGAATGTATGATTGATCAGTTACTTCATCAAATCATTGATATCAATGTTGACAATGAGTCTCTAATCAGTGAAGAAAAACTCATTCAAATATGTCTTAACAAATAATCTTTGATAATCTTGTAGATTGTTGAGAAAAAGATCATGATATACATCTTCAGTGCTCTGACAGAGCTTCTTGTAATAGATAACAAGATAGTGAAAATATCTCTGAAAAGTAAGATAATCATTCTTCTTAACTTATAATTTTATCAATTTCTTAAAGATATTAACTTGTTCTTCTGTCAGTGATATTATATATTTCATATTAATCTTGTCTCACAGGGCTGCAGTATTGTCAGCTTTCAAGGTTTCAATAGTAATTCAAACATTTTCAACAAGACTCAATAGCATATGTCTATATAGAGACTTAGAACAGATTCTTCACTTCTCAGAGTCAATATAATATGTAAAAGAGAATTCTCATTGAGTTCTTAATAGAATATCAGTTTCATTAATAACTTCTGCATCAGTCAACATATCAATATATCAGACTTCATAATTAGAGTCATTAAATGTGATCACTGATTTAATATCTAGTGTATATTTAACTTCTTTCTGATATTCTCACAACTCATCTCTTATAGTGTCTCTTTATACAGATATAGTAAGATATTAAGTGATTTCAGCTGCAGTCATCTGATTTCATAGCATTATCTGTATAAGATTTATAAAATTGCCTGCAGTGTAATAGATAGGTTGATTTGCATCACTATTAAAAGTCAGCATTTCAGAGGTGAGAAACAGTGAAGAATTTAAAGAGTTGAAATGAACAGATTCTGTAGATGAATATTAACTCTTCTTTTCTTTATTCTGAAGCTTCTCTATTATCTCATCATTAAATTTCATACTCTGATGAAAACTGATCTCAGTCTTATCTTATAAGTCAGAAGTCTTTTTATAATGAGTAATTATTCTATCAATGAGTTGTGTAGTAAAGTATGTGATTCTGAGTCTTGAGCTGAACTCTGAAGTAACAGATGTATTACTTATATTAAGATGACTCTGCTTCTTCTAGATATGTAAAAAAAAAGTAAAAAGTAATATTCTTCACAATGAAGAACATGCTTTTTTAAAAATATAAAGTATATAAATTCACTGACTGACAGATTCAGAGAAAATGAAATATCTCTAATAAAGAGTAAGAGTCTTTTCAAAAAAGATGAACTATCTGTGTTAAAAATGTTGATGCAATATTCTATAAAGAAAAATGTGTCATTCAGACTATAACCTGTAGAATAGTTGAAGATTGTATTGATAGATCTATCTACAGTTATCTCAGCAAGCTCAGACACTTCTTCAGATATTCATTGCTGTTTTAACACTGAATTGATAATTATATTATGAGCTAATCTCAAATAAGCAATAAGCTAACTCAAATAGTAAAATCAGATTATATGAGTGATGATATCTTGTGAAGCATCTGAGAAGAAACAGTTTCTGATTGTTAGTAATACAGAAAGAATTTACTCAGTACTCTGAGTATAAAAGAGAATTTCAACTCAACTTCATAGATTCATCATTTCTGTATTATCTTGAAACCTTAGAATAATAATGTTCTCATGATGTATCTGATTTTTATATTCATATCTTAAGTTTTTAGAATAGAAGTATCATTTCAAAGTTGATCAGTGTGTTTTTGAACACAGGAATTTTGATTCAATTCCTCATACAAAAAAAAGCTCTTAGAAATTCTGAGATTAAAAAATATGATCATTTTCAAGAGTATACATCTATCTTAAATATAGATTTTTTTGAAATATTAAAGAAATATTTCTATTCTTCTTCTCTTTAGCTATAAGCTAAGGTGATTTTCAAATCTCAAAGATATGTGAGTATATAGTAATAGAAAGTCAAAGTTGAAGAATCTGAAAAATTCTTGTAAATCTCAGAAATCTTCATTGAAGATGGAATCATTTCTTCTCAGACTCTCTGGTGAGAATTGCTCTGAGCACATGACTTGTATCAAAAGTAGGTTAGTGTCATGCCGGATTAACTAGTTAATAATAATGCTGCAACCCGTTCAAACCGAGCCAGAGGGTCTGAGCCCGCTGAGATAAATCTACAGGAACATAATATAGTGATGGGTCACGTGATCTAGTGGGATCGCTAACCGCAACGGCCGTAAGGGCCAACATCAACGACATTGGTAGAGACCGCGAGATCGGGGAAACAATGTTCCTCCCCATGTGACTTTGGATGTTCCCCTGCCAACCATTTCATCCGTAACACCTCAGATGGCAGCTGTTGCTCCAACTCGAAATCATCATTGACCTCTGGCTCAAACTAGTCCTGGCGGCTTTTAGAGAATTGTCACAATATCTGCCTTACAGGAACCGAGTTCTACCCACGGAATTGGAGGCGCAAGAATGCCGAGAGGCAAAAGGCACTCAAAGCCCGCCCGAAAGAAAATCCGACCACAATGCTCGGCACTGACGCGTTCCTACGATGCATGCAAAAATCGAGCGACTTCCTCACGAGCGCGGCAGGGACTCCCAGTGTGCTGGTCTCATAGAAAGCTTGGCCTCTCAGTGGCTTTTTGCCAGGCGCCGCTTGGGGGCAGTCGCAAATGCCTCAAAAAGATTCCTTGGACCGAAATACAGCTTTGTTTCAAGCACATAGAACTTGCCTTGCCATGCTACATACTGCGTCTGCCACTCGAACTTCGTCAACAAATTTTCTCATACATTCTCAATGAATATCAGAGCAGCTATGCGAAATTTTACACATATTACAGCTTTCTCAAAGTGGCGCGTTTGAATCGTCAGATATTTGAGGATGCAACTGATGTCCTCTACCGAAAACTGGTCTGCGATATCTTCCTGTCTGGCAAGGATGTGTACATCTTGGGAAGAAAATGCCACTCAATTCAAACTGGTTCCTGGCAAAGGTTTAAACAACTTACCTTCCAATTGAATATTTCGGTTGATCATTCAGGAAGGCATGGGCCTATCCTTGAAAATGTTCAGTTGATTGCATCACATCTTCAGGGTTCCAATCTCATCAAGCTCCATATTTGTCTTGATTCGGTGTGGTTTTGGTACACGCGCCGTAGAAGTGTTGAACTTATTCGCAACTTCTTACCCTCGTACTTGGATCCATTTCGGCAGTTGGGGAGGGTGAGGGAGCTTAGTGTCGCGTTGAGCCCGAAGATGTCAGGCAGGTCGAATGAAATCGAATTGTGGATGGAAGATATGTCAAATGACTCTGAAGCCATGGCCATGGCAATGGAATGGAAAAGATATTATGAAGAATGGACTGAGAACTTGAAGCGGGAGTGCCTGGAGAAAGGCGTAGGAAAATGCTTTGAATTCTAAATCATGTAAAATCAAAGTCTTTTATTGGTAGTTAGAGAGCCATCGTACGAAGAGAGAAGCTGTAGTGAAGAGTGCACTTGAGAAAACAACAAGAAGCACAAAATAATTCATTTTAATTCTTGTTTTATCAGATAGCTTTGACATTGTAATATGCATTCAGTAACTGAGCTCTCTTTATCAGTGTAATGAGAATAGAGATGTGCACTTCTGACAGCATAAGAACAGAAGCAGTGTAAATGTGGCGGGCTGCGCCCGATCAATCATATAGACTATTCCGTACACTCCATAGATTCCTACCGCCCCATTCCCGATCGCCGATCCTCGGCCGCCACAAACGTGTATGTTACGATCACCGATCCTCGACCGCTACGAACGCGCGTATATTCTTCCGCCCCGAAGCTCCACCGCGTATGCCACCACATACGCGTATAAATATCCACTTCAATCGCTGATTCTCGTACTTTCTCTTTCTTTCCTTCTCTAACGTTTTTCTCTTTGTTATATAAGACCTATATATTATACTGATCTATTCGGCGTAGGCCCCTTACACTAGAAAAATGTTCATCATCTCCTTATTAGGAACAATTATCCACGCATCGTCTCCTCATTAGGAACAATTTTCCACTGAGATATCCGAACGCGTAACAACGCGTAAGAAATAGAGAAACAGTCAAACAGTTAAGCAGACACCGAGTCCTCAGATAGAAGCTTGCTCACCAGTCACCCTGGCCCTGCAACAAGATCTTACAAAGAGAGTAAGATTTTACAAGAGAATGTCAGTAAAAGACCCGAGAGTCCTGACACCCAGATGTATGAGATATTTCATATGATTACACATCCGACAAAACGATATAACCATGTCTAATGATAATATGGGAGAACCCTCAAGCGCGAGCATAGAGGTGATACCACAGTGACTCTGAGCAATGTTGAAATTACAACAGCAACAGATAGCAGACATGCATACAACTCAACAACTTCAATACAAAGAGATTCAATGATTAACTCATGTGATTTCAACATCTACAGAATTGAATATAAAAGTGCTGAAAGAATGCTTAGATACTTCTATATATTTCAATACTTTCAATCTCACTCTCTACTCATTATGAAGAATGAAAATGCTTATAAAACTGAGTATAGATAAAGATGTCATTAGTTCATTAATTAATCAAGATTAGTATATCAATAAATAATTGAAGAATTGTATGAAATAGAAATTTTATTCATAAATAAAAGTATATAAATTAGTGTTATAAATATCTGATAATATTATAAAATATCTTAATATTCTGTTCTAAGACACTGTTATATAATAGAAAGTATTAGATTGATTACAGAGTATTTAATAAAGAAATACTTCTCTTATAACATTTATTTCTGACTTTATTATTAAGATTCTAGAAGTAGATAATCAATCTTGAAAGAATTAAATAAAGATTAGTATACTTAAGAAGATATTAACTTTTAAACTCTTACAGACTTTTATAAGTGTAAATAAAGATCAGATTTATAAAGACTTCTACACACAGCTCTGAATATTAAATAACTATCTTATTAAGCTTAAGAATATATAGAATAGTAATAGAAGATATTACATTTCAGTAAATTATATACTCACACTAAAGAACAGTAATAATACAGACATTATAAACTGAATAGATTTAAATATCTATATATAAGTAAGAGTCTCTGCTATCTGAATAGACTTTTAAGTCTCTGAGATTACTTCTGAAGAAGTCACTGATTAATATTAATATAAAGTATATATTAACTGTAACTAGACTGACTGCTGAGACTATGAATTTCACATTTAATCTTATTTAATCTGATCTCATACATTTCTTGGCATGAATTCTGCTGAGACTGACTATCAAAAAAACATGTAAAGTGACTATATATCAGATCTTAAAATGAAATCATGACTTGAAAAAAATGAGAAAGTAGTCTCATTTAATCGCATTTAGTCTCATTCTTATGTGATTCAAAGGTTGCTTAAGCCAGCGTATGATTACAGGCGTACGCCGGCTTCTTATATATTGAATCTCGTACGCTAAATTAATTAGCAGCCACTAGGGCCTCTTTACATTTGTACATGTACACTAGTAGTTCAGAAGCAGCTGTGTTATTATCCGACAGTCATACATTCTTTCAAACCACATCCTTCCCTATCAGATTCAGTCACGCTCACATGACTATATTGTACACTCTAGCTTCATGTGGATTAGCTCGCCACTAGCATTTCATGATTGTGTGGCCTATTTCTGATCCAGCTAGTGTTCTGTGTACACTCTCACAAAGAAACTTTCACTATATTATATCACTCATTTACTAACTTTTCTCATTCTTCAATCATCTTCTTCATCATCATCATTATCAAATGCTACTATCTCATTCAAGATTTCTATTTCTTCTTCTGTTCAACTCTTTTCATCTGTTTATCTATCACATTATACATGTTTCTGACAATGGCTTCTCATTCTCACAACAAGTGTTATCATAGTGCTCATATCAGGCAGTTCATTAGCAGTAAGTGTAACATGTTGTGAAACATGATCAGGACTTGTTTATCTTCTAATGATCATCAGAACATACTATTATGAATGATGACACACCTTCTTCATCTTCTCATACACTCTCAACTGTTTTCTTCTCAGTGGGTTTCTGATCATGTTTTCTGGCACAATTTTACATGGACGCAGATGCTGATATGTTTGTTTTTATTCATATAGAATCTTCACACATTGACAGATCTGTGTTCACTGATGATAGTGAACCTGATGTTGCATCCTTGATCAAGAACTTGAAGAATGTGATAATGAAGGAATTGTCTGTGTCATGTGTGGCTGAATCTCCTGCATTCTCTCTTATCTCTTCTGCTACTTCTTTCTCTGCTGCTTTCTCCTCTGTCTCTTTCTCTGCCACTTCTCAATCTTCTACACTTGCCTCTGTGTCTAGTTCTCCCGCTCTCACTATCTCTGTTCCACAATCCCTGGTTTTGCCATCTCTGCTTTCATTACTAGCTCTCCTCATTTCAAGAAGATATTGCATAGACTTAATGAACTATGTCTCTCAGTGTGTACACTTTCACTCTTCTTATCAATCTCTAGAATGATTTATTGCACAAAGACAGTGTATGACATAATCATTTGAAGTTCAATCACAGACACTAATTATTACATTTATTTTAAATATTTATGATAAGATAATTATTCATTTATCTCAGAGAATCACCTCTCTTCTCAACAGTATTGAGATTGTAAGTCTTTTTCTTTTTCATCTTTTTCTTTCTGACACTAATTTTTCTGTTCTTAGAGAAAATCATTATGAGTTTTACTGTGTACAAAGTTGTGATATTCATAGATATCAAGAAGCTTTTTACAATTATAAAGTTCAATATTACAGATATGTCTGCTCTGACTAATATCTTTGAAATGATCAACTCATATCAGCCTATTCTCTGATGATTGTCATTCAACTTCATGATGCAGATAAAGAATATTCATGTTTTCAGAAATGAAAACACAGATGTTGTACTCTTTTACACTCACAGGTATGAGGCTTGTACACCTTGTCTGAAATATTGTCATGAAAATGAGTCATTTGCATGCTGTGTTCTGCTTTCAGTATTCTCTTATGTCTCTCTCTCTCTTTCTGAGGAGCCTTGTGTGTGTTGTAATTATATGTACAATTCTAAGGTCAGTGAGTGTTCATTCAGTAATTGTTACTCCTGCTTTTGCAATTTTCATACACTAACAATGGTTCTTAGTTGCTCCGGTGTCAGAGGCTATTCTGATCAAAGATGACAACACTGCTGAGACTACTCTCTCTCATCTTCAAGCTTCTTCCATCACTTTCTCTCCCTCTCCCTCTTCTGCAGGGAAGGTTGTGTGCACACTGAGTCATAAGCATTCAGCTCTGAGTGGCTCCTGCTGTTATTCATTCAGTTCTGTGCCTTCTCTTTCTTCTGTTTCTTCCATCTTCACTCTCTCTGTCCTGGCTCCTGGTCCTGCGGGTCCCGCACTCTTCTTCAATTTCTCTACACATACACATGTGCATTTCTATATTGGCATTCCAGCCAATCTTGCAATAAATGACATTAATGTCATATGCAGAGTGATAGAGGAATTGAAGATATATACAGTGTTATTACAAGAGCAGCTTACAGCTCTTAAATCTCTTACAGATCTCAAGTTTTGAGATTTCCTTTGTTTTTGATGTTTTTTGAATGATGTGGTGTTGGAAATAGATTAACATGTAGTGTATAAAAATGAATGAGATGTGTATAATAATATTTGTCTTTTATAACTGACTCTTACAGTTGATGACTAATTCATTATCTCTTTTCTTACACTTTTTCTTTATCTGCTAGCTACTACTCTTACACAACCTCTATATAGTACAGTGTTCAGTGACTAGATTTGACAGCTTTCATCTTTTGTAATTCTGTCTCATGTATTATACTGTCTCTCTTCACTCACTCAGATCACTACAGTGAACAGCTCATTGAAACTGACCTCACTCAATCTCTGAGTGTTCTCAGGAATTGAGATGACTTGATCTCACATGTCTGCAGATGTTTCAGATAGTTTATTCTCTGTGATCTCTGTAATTAAATTGATGTAAATAGTTGAATTCAACTCTGAATCTCTTTTTCTTCTGCAATCTGACTCATATGCAAGTCTGCTGCTTTGAGACTGCTCTTTACTATATTGCATCTGCTATCTGCAGCATGTTATTGTATAATCAGCTACAGTCTCATCACTTATTGAAGTGTGATGTTCATCTGATTTCTTCATTTCTTCTCATTCTTTCCTTGTAATTGTGAAAAGATTGAAATAAGTGAGATTATCTGATTTGTAAGTGTTTATGATTTCTCTTACTTCATGAGACTTTTTAATTATAAGTCTCTTCTTTTTCAACACTGATGATAGTGCTGTGAATAATTATAATCTGCTTGAGTCTTGAATCTTTACTTTCACAAGTCATGAATCATTGATTAAGTTGTATAAGATCTGTCTCTCTGATTCTTTCAATGTGTACATTCTCAGAGAATGTGATTTAAGTATTTTATATGACTCAAATCACCTAGATTGAAACTTCTCAGAACTCTCATTGCATACAAGAACTTATATTCTCATCTTAAGACTCAATTTCTTAACAAGTGAGTCTTGTATTCTTTTCAATTGAATTGCTCAGTTCAGGAGTAACTCATTAGCTTTTGTGTGTGTGTGGCTGATCTCTTTCAATCTTGGTTCTGCATCTGCGACTGTTGTGTCTGCAACTGCTGTGTCTGTAACTGCTGTTTTCTCTTCCACCTTTTTCAAAGCATTCTCCGGGATGCGCGGATGCAATTCATACAACAGGTAGAATGATGAACACTTGATGACTGCATGCTGCTGGATTCGCGTGGCTAATAGTGCCTGCCTGAGATATTCATCTTATAATCTTGTAGGCTTGCTCACTAGATATTTTGTCAGCATGTTGCTCAAGATTTCATTCAAGTATTCCATCTTCCTGTTCATCCGCAGGTGATATGATGTTGTTCTACAATGTCTTGTCTGTAACTGGCCCATGAAATGCCTCACTGCTCCTTCTATGAGATTTGCATCATTATCAGTTAGAATCTCGCACAGCATTTTATAGTTGACATAGATCTCATTATGTAGAAACTTCATTATCACCTTCTCTGTCATCTCTGAAACTGCTTTCACAACTGGCCAGTCAGTAGTATAGTCAATAGCAGTGATTATTCATCAATTTTCATTTGACATTTACAGCAATATATCTATGAGATTCATCTCTCATTATTTGAACAGTTATATTATACACTTCATCTGATGTTATGCTTCTTTGCATTCTAACCCTTTCTTAGATTCTTTCACAACCTGATAATTCAGGCACTTGTGAGTGTATGTCTGAATGTTCTTGACCATGCTTGGCCAGTACACTCTTAATTCAAGTACACTCATGAGTTCAGAGCTTTCTAAGTGACTGAATTCTTTGTGTATGTGAGCTATCAAGTCACATTGAAATGAAGATTCTAGATAGAGAGCTTCTGTGTATTCTAGATTGCAGTAAAGCACAACATTGTTTTTCAATTTTCTCAGTTTGAAGTTTGAAAGCATCTCTTCTACTACTTTTGTAAGATACTTGTCATCTGACACCTTGTCATTCTTCAAGCAAGAGATCATGATGTTCACTCATTCTGATTCCTTGCATTTTCTCAGTGCATTTAACATGAATGTTCCTTGTACCTGGTTCACAGAACCCTCACTTATGAAATTGAGTCTGTGACTGATTGCATCAGGCATCACTGTATTCAATTCTTTTCAGTATTTGATATGAAGATTGTATGCTTGAAACTCCAAGATTCAACATGCTAAGTGTTTGAAAGGTTTTGTTATTAATTGTAGATAGATGAGGCTTTCATGATCTGTGATCACTGTTGTTGTATACCTGTTGTTAATATATCTATCTCACAATGCCAGCACATGCTTGATTGCTAGCAATTCCTTTTCATACACTGAATAATTGAGCTCAGTGCCTGATAGTTTTCTATCATCATACATCATCAGATACAGCTTGCTGTTCTTACTCATCTGTAGAAGAGCATCTCTGATAGCTCATTCAGATGCATCTGTCTCAATGTAGAAAGATTTATTACAATCTAGTTGAATAAGCACTGAGAATGTTGTTACACATTTTCTCAGTGTGAGAAAAGCCTCTTCACACACAGCATTTCAGATGATTGAATAAAACTTCTTCTTTCACAGATTTGCATCTGTTTCTCTTAAGAGATTCAAGAGTGATGCAGATATTCATGCAAAATCCTTGATGAATCTGCAGTAATATGAGATCAATTCAAGGAACTGTTATATATGATATACATTTCTCAGCTGCGGTCAATTCACTATAACATTCAATTTCTTCAGAATGAGGTATATACAGTCATCACTCACTACATGTTTCATGAACTTCAACTCTTTCATTTCAAACACACACTTGATTGATTTGATGTAGAGCTTATACTCTGCCAGAGTTGTAAGCACTTCATCAAGATGCTTCAGATATTCATCATATGAGTTTAAAAAGACTAGAATGTCATTGAGATATACAAGGCATGAGGTTTCATTCTGTTTATGAAGAATTGTATTCATCATCATTTGAAAGATGATAGGTGCATTTGTCAGATTAAATGACATTACTAGAAATTTGAACTTTTCTCATTGTATATTAAATGCAGTTCACAGAACTGACAGTTTGTCTACACAGATCTGTCAGTATTCTGAGAGAAGATCAATCTTTGATAGATATCAGGCATTTCTGACTGTATTCAACTGTTGTTGAATCTATGGCAGTGAATATTCATTCTTGATTATAAGCTTGTTAAGTGCTCAATAATTGATACACATTTGTCACTCTTCACTCATCTTTTTCATGAATAGGACTGGAAAGCCTCACATGCTTGATAAGGGTTGTATGAGATCATATTCTAGAAGATTGATGATCTGATGCTTCTGTTCTTCAAGATGTATTTATGACAGAGGATACACATTCTGATTGACTGGTTTTGCATCCCTCATGTCAATCTCATGTACAAATCCTCATTCCAGCAGCAATTCTGATGAAAGATCTGTTTGAAAGACCTTTCTATGCTTCTTCAGAAGCTTCTTTATACACTTGTTCTCCTGCATATTCTTTATCTTGGTTTCCTCCGCTTCCGGGTCCTGTATGACATACAGAATGCTTTCAGATGAGGTCTTGTAAATCATTCTCTTTGCTTGTTGATGTATAAGCAGATTTAACTCTTCTATACCAGAGATGTGGAATGTTCTTCTCATATCAGTTGATAGAATCATATGAACCATTTTCTTCCTATCAGTCAACTGCATATGACATGTACATCATTGAATCTGCAGATTGAACCTTTGAAATTAATTGAGTCTGAGAATAAGATTGTATTTCACATTCTGCAGCTCTCATGCTCAAATATAGCAAGATCATTCTCTGAAGTGCAAGGGAACTCTTACTCTTGCAGGTGATATCAAATATCAGTTATCAGATAATCTTATGCATCAGAGATTCTTCACTTGGCAGACCTCTTTCAATCTTCAGATCATATAATCATCAATATATTGCATAGAAGCTTCTGTGTCTGCTAACACTTTTGCAGCCATCTCTCAATTCTTATTCAAGTGCCCTCTATACATTAACATTTCAGATCTCAAGATATTGAGATGAGTATTCACTTCATCATCCTCATCTGCATCTCATTCAGAAGCCTGCTTCTTCTTTGCATTCACAGAATTCAGAGGGTCATCTAACACAGGCATCTCTTTCACTTTGAAGGCTTTTCATAGAATATCAGCAAGTGTCTCTGAGCTCACTGATTCTGCTAGTTTTTTGACTCTCTTGCTTCTCTTGACTGCACATGCTGGGTGCAATCTTTTATATCATGATTTTAGCATCTGCAGTTGAAGCAAGCTCAATGCTTATAACATCAAGATTTTCACTCAGAGAATCTCTTTTTCAGAGAATTCAGTGCTTTAGTAATGGCATTCAGATCTAGATTTATCACATTCAGATGTGTGACTTGTGTTGTAGAAGTCTGATTATCTGTTCTCTGCTGAGATATACTTGATTGCAGTATTTTCTGTTGCAATTGACTCACTTATTCTCATATGATGAGAATGTTATATACTTCTTTCACTGTGTCTGATTGTGAGGTTAAGCATTTTCATTCCACTCTCAACTCAGGTGTAAGATCATGAATGAAGATCTGTAAACAGAAAGATGTTGAAAGCTCTTCATTCAATGTGAGATAGTGTAAACTGAAGTGTGTGAAGTACAATGTAAGATTACTCACTTATCTATACTCAGTGAAGTGTTTGTAACACTTGTCTCACATGTTCACTTTCTCAAAGTTGTGCAAGATTCATTTGAAAAACTCATTTCATATTCATGGAAATGAATATCACTTCAGGTCTGCAAGATTCATCTTTTTATCAGTCATTTATAATGACTTCACTTTTTCACATAGGAATATGACAGATCTTAAGACTTGTTAAAATTCTGTTGACTGTCTGTCTGTGAGTTCACATTCAATCTGATAATATGATTGCATCTGACTTAGCCAGCTGATTGCAGCATCATTTTTTCAGTCATCATTAAAGCTTGATGACTTCAGCAGATCTTTCAGCTTGATGTATTTCATGCTCAGATTCTCATCCTGCACAGCAGTCTCTGATGATGTGTACACTTCTGAAGAGGTTGTGAATAATTGTAATGAGATCTCCAGGTTCAGCATAGTTATCTGTCTGTATAAATGTTCAATCTCCTGCTGCAGGCCTAAGATCTGGTTTTCTCTATTCTTATTGATAATGGTGATTGTGTCAGTGAAGCTCTTCATAGTGAACACTTGATTCACAGCAAATGCTAATTATTGTTTAGCTTTCACCTCAGCCTGTCACTGCATACACAAGGCCTCAATTTCATTTAGAATTCTCATACATATACAGAGCTTTGATTCCAGTTCAGCTGTCTCAGCCACTTTTCTTACTGCTTCAAGTAATCCCTCTGAGAGGTTCTGTATACCTTCCAGTTCAGGTAGCAGAGAAGGATGTTGTTCATATCAGCTAGAGAAGGTATTCATTTCAGTGGTTTTCTCATTGATCATACAATGTCTATCATTATATCGCTGTATCATTATATCATTATATGATTTCTGTTATCATCGTACAACTCTGATGATGGCCACCCCCCCCCTTTTTATCCTTCTTCTGGGTAGGGAGTGGACTTCTTTGAATCTGGTTCATCACTTCCATTCTCTTTCTCACATCTCATCTGTTCACATCTCATACGTGGCATTCGTCTGGGCGTGGAGTTTTCCCCCAACAAGCAAAGCAGCATCAATCAGATGCTCTTCCACTCATCACTCTTCATACACTATCTTTTGAGGCATTCTAGGACCACACTGGCATAATAACTATGAATCACTTCATAGGCGGAATTATCACACCCTGGAGGAGCCTGTGCTTCTCACCGGTTTTTAGACATGCTATCAGATGTGATTCAAAGGTTGCTTAAGCCAGTGTATGATTACAGGCGTACGCCGGCTTCTTATATATTGAATCTCATACACTAAATTAATTAGCGGCCGCTAGGGCCCCTTTACATTCGTACGCGTACGCTAGTAGTTCGGAAGCGGCCGCGTTATTATCCGACAGTCGTACGTTCTTCCGAACCACACTTAGCATAAAGTTACTATTTTTAGACATTTTAACATTTTTTTTAGATAATTTTTAATTTTTTAAAAAGTAACACTTTTTGGTAACACTCAAATGAGATTTAAAGTCATTTAAAGCAATAAAAATAATTTAAATTGAGAAGTAGAAATCATGATTTCATTTGAAAAATGTGATAAGAGTAGACAGTAAGTCTCACTGAGACAGTATGAAACTACTATCTAATGTTAAAACCATGTAATGAAATCAGTTGAATTGATAATAAGACTATTAAAAAATCTGATCCTGATCTCAGACACAGTCACATAGTCAGTCTAACTGTAACTAATCAGAATATATTACTTTCAACTATTAATTAATCTATATATCTTCATACTTAAGAGAAAGATCAGTATCTTCTTATTTAAAGAATGAATTAGTATCTGTCTGTATTGATCACATTACATTAGAGAAAGATTTAGAAGATAACTATAAGAATGTCTTAATAAAACAGAGAAAAGATTAGCTTCTATTTAAATTTATAAACAGAAGCTTGAAGAGATTGAATAATAATAATTTAAAGAGAAAATGATAATGAATATAATTCTTATATCTACTATGATTGATAATATATATAATATGAAAGTCATGATAGACAGCAGTCTGTATTCCTATATAATAATAAAATCTTCAGTATATCTCTTTATTAAAACTCTGACTGCTTATATAATTTAATAATCTGAAAGATGTTTGTATCTGTTATATAATAAAACTAAACATAGATATGAGAGAATATTAATATAAAGATATCTATATATATGAAGTTGATAATCTTAATTATAATCTTATATTAGAACTTATCTGACTATCTGAATAAGATATTTTACTGAATACTTAAAACAGAAGCTTGATATTCTCTAATAATGATAGAATTCACAAAGATAATATTCATAAGACTATAAATCTTACACAGATCTCTGTCAACACTTATAAAATACTCTGAAAAAGAAGTTATTATTAAAATTACTGACAGAGTCACTGATAAGTTCACTGACAGTAGAATTATATATCAATCTATTTCATCAGTCTGACTGATATTAAAAAGACTCTAGAAAAGTTATTTCATATTATAATAATAGATTCTTATACAAAACTCTCTTAATAATATTATGAATATCTAGACATCTTCTGATAAGATAATATTACAAACATATCTCTCTTATAAGATTCTGAAGTGAATCACAGTATTAAGTTAGAGAAAAAGAATGATAAGAATTCTGAACTGCTATGAGACTCTCTTTATAATATATTCTGAGATGAACTTCTTCTTCTTCAAAAGACACTTAATAATCTGTTAAATAAAGAATTTATATATATTAGTAACTCTTTCACTGCAGTCTCTATTCTCTTTACAAAGAAATCAGATGAAGAACTTCAGTTGTGTGTAAATTATTAAGAATTGAATAGATTAATAAAGAAAGACTGTTATTCTTTATCTCTTATCAATAACACTCTAACTTGTATTAAATAAGCTTAATAATTTACAAAGTTAGATGTCATTACTGCATTTCATAAGATTCACATCATTGAAGAAGATAAGTGATTTACAGTATTTTAAACATGATATAATCTCTTTAAATGAGTAGTCACACTCTTTGAACTGATCAATGCTCTTAGTATATTTTAGAAATATATTAACTAAGCACTCTGAGACTTTCTTAATAAATTTGTATCTACTTATTTAGATGATATTCTCATCTTCATCAATGAATTCAGAAATAAATATCAAGAGTATGTATAAAGAGTATTACAATGACTATAAGAAGCAGAACTATCAATTAATATTGATAAGTATAATTTTGAAGTCAAGAGTAATAAATACTTAGATTTTATTATAGAAGCTGATAAGAGAATCTGAATGAATTCTGAAAAGATCTCTGCTATTCTTGAATGAGAGACTCTGTACACTGTGAAAGATGTATTATTATTATTATTATTCTTCAATTATAGATGTATGCAGTCAGAGACTATGACATCTACCTGAGAACTTTAGTTGTCAGGGTTTTTTTCTATGTCTGTAAAGTTAACTATTGTACATTCATCAATTTCAGATATGCAAAATCAGAAAATTCCAGCTCAGAATACAAAAACTGTTTACAAATTGCAGTGTTTTAACATCTTTTGATACTTTGAAATCATTTGACAATATCATGACAAAAGAAAAGAGAGACAGAACACAGTCTCAAAGATAGACACATTAAATAGATAGATAGAAAGAAATTGAAAGAAAAAGATACAGAAAAAGATAAAGTAAAGAGAGACTATAACAAAACAAATTATTAAAAGAGAGTGTATAGCTGTTTTAACAGATTATATCTGATTGATTTCCTCCTCTTCATATTCAGATAATTCTGAATTTAGTCATTTTCTTGTAGCTGCTTGAGTTTCTGATAGAAAGTCTATTAAGTATTTAATTCCTGTCTCAGTTGAGAATAAGAATCTCATATTTAATTGATTTAGATCATACTTCTCTTTCAATCTGACTCTGAGACTATTGTATAATGCACAGTGCATTATAATATACTCAGAATTCTCATTTGTATTGCAGAATGAGCATTCTATTGAGTCAAATCTATCATCAAATCTTTGTATATAAGATTTAAAATAGCCATGTTCTAGTTTCAGCTGTATTATAGATGAGAATATTTTCTTTTTACATTTAATTGAACAAGATTTTCACTTGAGTTTTGTTTCAAATCTTGAATAATGTATACTCTTCTTTTGTTTCTACCAGCTTTCATTTCACTTGTCTAAATAAGATTCTTTTATTTTTCTCTTTATAAAAGATCAGAACACAATTTTTTGAATAGATCTGCTTAATTCTGCACTCTTTTTTGCAGCTGAATCAGCCAATTCATTGCCATGAATATTCATATGAGCAGGAACTCAGTGCAGATGAATTCTCAGCTTTGATATTCTTCTCTTTTGAATTTTTAAAATAGAGTTTAAGATCAGTTCAAGATTCATTTAACTATTATGAATCTGACTATTTCTAAGTCTTTTTAAAGCAGCTTGACTATCAGAGAATATTCATATCTCTTTCAAACAATTTCCTCTTTTATGAGATTTTATTTCAATGAGTTTGAAAGCTTTCACTATTATAAATAGTTCAGCATCAAAGACTTCACATTCAGAGCCTAGATTTCAGAAATCTGAGATAAAATTAATATTATCTTCAGTATAAGCAATGCCTGTGTCTAATCTATTCAAGTTCTCATTTTTTGAGTCATCTGAATAAATCAGAATAGAGTCTTTTATATTGATTGTAGAAATTTTCTTCAAATGCTGTTTATATTCTTTCTCTTTTGATAGTTCACTTATTTGTAAGTCTATAAGAGATTCAAGCTTTTTTCTCCAGAGAGATAACTTCTCATGATCAACTTTTTCAACATTTAAAGAAGAAAATTGATTTTTGATCAGAGAGTATAGTCTGTACAGTTGAGAAGGCATTTTCTTTGAAGAATTATGTTCATTTCAATCAAGAAATCTATTCCAATCCAGTTCATTTCCAGAGTTAATTGATGAAAATGAAGAAGAGACTCTTTCTCTGATTATATGATTTGAGCTCATCTTTACAACTCTCAGAGCATAGTTCATACAGGTCTTTTCAAATCTAATAGCAGGAGAAGGAATTGAAGCTTCAATCTTCATTGCTTTAATAGGAGATGATTTGAATGCTCTCAGAATTCTTCTCAAGACTCTGTTTTGCAGACTTTGAAAGAGTTCAGTGAAATTTCCTTGATTATTTTATCAAACTTGAACTTCATAATCAGCTACTGATGTAATACAGGCTATATATAACTGTCTCATAGCCTGGAAGAATAGACCCCTCTCTGTATTTGATAGTCTGATTATGTTATTCAATAGTCTTTCTGCCTTGACAGTTCTTTGTTGAATGTGATATTTAAAATTCAACTTGGAGTTTAACCATACTTCTAATCATTTGACATTTACACTGGGTTTAATCTCTCTATTTAAAACAGTTAGAGATAGTTCTTTCTCATTGAATCTAGAAAAGAAATGAATTAACTCAGTTTTATTCATATCAAATTGAATTTGATTGATATCTGCTTCAACAAAGATTTTCTTTGCAGCTTCTTCAATTACTTTCAAATTCTCTTTGATA